GTTAGCGCTGCCGGGGCCGTTCGGTGGTGGTGTGGGGCGCAGTGGGCAGGCCGCCGGGTGCTTCTCAGAGTTGACCTAGAGTTTGCTTTTGAAATTTAATCCCTTAGAAAGGGCTCCCAGGGTCATGACCTCGGGCTGTCTGGTTTGAAGAAGCACCTAGGCTGCCCTCCTGTCACCCTCATTTTGGTCTCAAATTATCCATGTGCCCCCTTGTTAACTGCTGTCCTGGAGTGAGAAGGCCGCTGGAAAACAGCACGGCCTTCCCTCAGTTTCCTCCGATGACAGCCCTGCCCCCGGCCCACAATGACTGGATAACGCGGCATGATGTCATGTGCTTTCAGTTCCTTACTCGGCGTCTGGTCAGAGGTCCTGGGTCTTCCGCTGTGGTATCTGATGGTCCTTCATGGGAGCATGGCGCTTTGGGGCTTCAGCAGATGCTTTGCAAAACCCACAGACATGCAGTGTCAGATTGCACAGGCCCCCTCATTCAGCGTGGGGAACCCACTCCCAGCCTTCGGCATGTGTTGTCACAAATCCGCATTCCTTTAGTACGGAAACACCAGTCCCCCGGCCCCAGACGCTGCTCTCTATGAAAATTTAAAAGTGAATTTGACATAGCGAGCATCCGACTGAATTAACTGAAGGCCAGGTCATTCTCCTCTAGTCCCAGGTGAAATGCCCTTTCCTCAGCAGCGCCTCCCAGGACTGCCTGGCGTGCCTTCTGAGGGAACCAGGCACCACAAGTGACAGACGGGCAGACCTGACTGCACCTCGGTGTTAGCTTTTGGGAGCCAGTGGAGCCGGAGGCTGTATTTCACCCCTGCCTCATCTTCTCAGCATTCTGCTGGCCACCACGCACTGGCCCCGTTTCCTACATGGACATAACCCTTCAGAGTTGCTTGTGAGCGGCTCACTGCCTGCTAATTGAAAACGAGCCTCTGTCCTTGTGCTCCCTCGTGTGACGGGCACTTTCCTGAGGGTCCCGTCAGAATAGACGGGCATTCCTGAGTCTTAACACTAAAAATAGACTTGGAAAAAGTTTAAGAGCATTTTGGGTACGCAGACATGACAGACATTCCACGGAAATGTTGACATCACCCCCAAAAATCTCATTTCAAAGCCAGCAGTATTGGGCCTTCTCACAAAAGAGCACCCCACATTCCGACTGTCCCGCTGTGGCACAGCGGAGACGACACAACACCCTTCCCAGCTGAGGAAGGTTTAAGAGACCCAGAGACATTTGTACGCCCTCTGAATTTTGACTTCTAGGCTTACATAACCCAAGGTCATCATTGCAAACTCAGAAAGGAATTTTTCTGAAGTCCTGTTGAACCCACTTGGTTGTAGTGGCGTCTGACTTTGCAGAGGCTTTAAGACCTTGGCTCAGGTCGGGGCGCAGCCCATGCCAGGCGGTGGGCTTCCTGGCACGAGGCACCCATCTGGGAAGAGACGAGACTCCCTCNCCCCGATGCACGTGTGTAGAGGTAGTTTAGTGGATCTTTTTAATAAAGAGGAACAGTTAGGAGGGACACACAGACGGTCTCACAGTTACAGCTGCTGGGGCTGGAGACCCACGCACGTGAGCGTTGACGTCTGCTGCCAACCCTGAGCCCTGCCTGCCATTTGAGGTCGTGACTACAAATGCTAGGTTGGGATTTGAAATGAGAGTGGGGTTGCTAATGGCAGCCCCCCTCAGGCCGCCCACGGCTGGCCTTCTGGCTGGGAGGGCCTGGGACAAAGCGCGTCGTCAGCGGCAGCCCCGCTCAGCACACCCATGGGGAGCGGCAAGGACCCATGTGGTCACGTGCTTATGCATCCTATTTTGGAGAGAAGTCCCTCTTCCAGAATTGTATGGCCTGAAGTCATCTGGGGTCCATCAGTCTGGGAAGTTCTGGAAATTTGCAGCACACGTGACTCAGTGCTTTGCCTGAAGTGCACCCAATCCAAATGTGGTTCAGGTTTAGCAAACGTCTGCCCAGGATTCGTGGCACCTGATTGTCCATCGCTTACTCAACGGGCCACGTGCGAAAGGAGCAGCCCGTCCACAGCCCCGAGTCACCGCGATGCAGATGGGCCCCTTTGGGTCTGAGCATGTTTCCATCTCGCACGTGAGCATACACGTGCTCGTATGCCGTGTGCCCCTGTCTGAATGGGGAAATGAAAAGTTAAATAGTGTTTTTCTTTTCCAGATTCAGCCCACGTTGAAACGACCATTACATAATGCCATTTATTTTTTTAATAGACACGGCCTACAGGAATACGGGATTGGGGAATTGGTCAGTTCAGTAGTTTTCCTTCACAGATCAGGTCCTGATTTCATTGGCTGTCGGCATGCCGTTTCATGGCCCAGCTGATGACACTGGAGGAGTTGACGGCAAATACAGCCTGAGGTATGCTGGGGCCCGTGATACAAATCAGAGTTCGGTTCCCCGATCTGTGGGAACTTGGCCACAGAAAGAAGGCCTCAGTAACAGTCAGTCTTTATTTTTTTGCGAAAACTAGACAGATGATATTGTCCCAGCCAGACCTTTTTTCATGAATCCTGAGCAGGTGTTTGATTTCATTTGTGGAGCAAGGCATTCCCGAGGGTGGGTCACCTGGGAACTAACTCTCAGGTGTGAGGAATGCAGGACCGCATCCCACAGAGAGCGAACATGCCGCCCTGCGAGGCTGGGTTCCTGAGGTTCACCCCGCCTCCTGAAGCGGCCTTGCACTGGAGTGCTGTGTTCCTAGGACCCAACCCGAACAGAACCCACCACCAGGCTGGTCACTGAGCTAGTAGTTTGCCCTTCACGCCCCTGGGGCCACGTGCCCACACTTGTCTCTTGGCCTCTGCAGGCCCTCGGGAGTTCTTGCTGAATTAACTCATATTGCCCCGGGTCCTCTCACGGTGCTGGCACGGGCACCGTCCCCTCACACAGCAGTCTTGGGCAGGAAGTGACTTTCACCCCTTCATTCAGCATATGGTTGTGGCACTTATGCCACATGCCCAATGTGCCAGTGCTGGCACTAAGCAGTGACTGAAACGTGGTTTGCCTTCTTGGAGCTCAGATCGGTTGGGGAGAGGCAGAGAATGATGCATACAACAACGTCAGGGCAGGGCCAGGCGGGAGTGGGTGCGGTGTGCGTGCGTGCGTGCGGCGTGTGGCTTCACGCAGGGGTGGCTGGAGAGGCTCCTTCATGACGAGCGGGGCTGTGACATCTGGGGACAGAGTGTTCCAGGGGACACCCGGCTAGAGACCCCGAGTGGGCTGGCAGCCAGGGTGCTGGCTGGGGGCACGGCGGACCAGGGCCAGGAGTCCCTTTGTCACATTGGGCTTTTGTTCCATTATATCCTAATAACACGTCATGCAGGCTTTCCAGTGACGCTGTTCAAAGATTTGTGAAATATTCCTGCCATGGCTCTTTTGATCGGATGCTCATTCACAGGTTTAGTGAGAGCAGGGGAGTTTAAAAGGGAGGGGGTGAAGCTTGAAATCGACATGCCTGCAGCGTGGTCCTCGTCCCCATGTTACCCATAATTCAGTGTGAAGCGCAGCCTGGCTGTTGGCGATGGTGGTGTGGGCTTCAGCCGTCTCCGGTGTTCCTCCTCCTCTACTCATCACCTGCTGCATCTGAGGTTTCCTTCTGCTCTGCTTCACTTCTTCCCAGGTGGTGTTACTGCTGCCACCTGGGGCATCTTTATAGCCTGTGAGC